GCTGACGTTTCGGGGTCTAGGCCCGAAACGTCAGCCTTCCTGCTCCTATGATGCTGCTTGGCCTGCTGTGTTCATCCAGCCTTAAGCCTTGTTGTCTCAGTGATCGAATCACGGTGGCCATTATCTCACAGGATGGTTTTGATTTGCCGTATATTAGCATCAAACTAACACAGAGTGAACAAATGGCTTAGGCCCAATTTACGACGTTCCTAATAATGCCAATCTTATAGCACATTGAAATGTAGGAATCTCAACACCAGTTAAGTTTATGGTAGACTATAGTAGAGACCTTCCTGGCTAATTTCTTAACTAGGACATCAATGAAATTGAACTCATTTGATAACTCCATTTCAAAGATAAGTTTGAATACACAGCATAGAGCCTATTAAGACATTAAGGAAATTCTTAAATGCAACAGTTGATTCAAATGTAGCGAATCTATTAGAAATATGCAAGAGCTAGGAGATTTGATGTCATTCAATTGAAGACATGTTTCTCATAGAACCTAACAAAAGGTGTTTGACTTTGCTGGGATCTCTGGCAACACTATCTCATCAACATTATCTCGTCAACATACATGGCATTGGTAAAACTAAACTGAGAGTTGCACAAGTTGTGAGATGCACAAGTTCATAAATTCTCTCAAAAGGTGGCAGGTCTAGATCACCAGGGCATGGTGTTGCATATAAATGTCTGTAGCTTCCTCGAATGGTACACTGCAAATAGGCTAATGATGTTAAATGTGCACATGAACAGTGCAATGTTATCAATGAGTGTCTTCATACTCTTTGCAAATATGAAGGAACCTTTCACTATATACCTGGAAAACTTGCTCAAAACTGGTTTAGCAATTCACCTAGCCATATGGCCAGTTCATGTTGTGTGGGACCAGTCATAAATAAGCTCATTGTTCTTACACTAATCCAGCAAACTTTTTCCTTTAGGCTTACTTAAAAGTAAGCTTATCGAGTCATGCTGATCAACAGGTTAACTGGGTAAAAATTTGGACCAGTCATTAAGATTGCGTTGATACAGACATGTCCGTTAAGGATGACATTTTAAAAAACAGATTCATCGGAGCACTGCTGGTCAGGTGAGCATTTATTGACCAGAGCACAGTTAAGAGTCAAGATTCAACCATACTACAAAGAATTTGGAGTTGCATGGTGACTAGACCAGGTAAGGCTGGCAGATTCTTGCTTCCTCCCCTTGCCAAGAATATTCATGAATCGTATGGTTTTTAAGATAATTGACAGTAGTTTAATGGTTGCCATTGTGCCAGTGTTTTATTCCAGATTTTTAACTGAATTAAAATTTCACCATCTGCCAGGGTACGTTTCAAACCAAACATTAGCCGGAGGTTCTGGATTATTAGTACAGTGACATCACGACTATGCTTCCCCCTCCCATTAGTTCCAATTCCATTGTCATGATTTCTGATGTCTCAGTTGACCTAGAGGCCCCTCAGCACTGTCAAACATTTAAGCTGCATTGGAAAATCAGACGAGTAATTTGGAATCCTGCAATATGTATTACTTAGTTCAGCTAAGCACGTTTTCCAAGATTCAGCATCTTCAATGGATATAGGATGATGGCTAGTGTGCTGGAAATAGAGGAGTTCAAAGTCAGTGACAGTGCAATTCTAAGTTTGTAGACCATGTGTCTCAAAGACTGACATTGTATCAAATAGCACATCCTTTTGGCTGCTCAAAAGTTACTGATCCTACCCAAATCGCCCACACTTGTGAAACTTACTACAAAGTTTTCCATATTGGAAGCGATTCTGCAATTGGACAACATTTCCTATATAATCCTGTGTGTGCAAGGAATTAAGATTACCAGTCGGACTTGCACTATGAAACATATGCAAATACTGCAAGCTGCATATATTAATACACAAGGCTCTATTCATTGCAGACAGAATGAACATGCACATACTGCACTTGTTTGAACATAAACAAAACAGATGACACAGTCATATTGTGGTTCAGTTCTTAGGGCAATTGCCAAAGTTTGGCCTAAATAAAACTTTAATTATTTATACAAAATTTGCAGTGCAAACAAGTCGTTCAAAGAATACAAAACTAAGACTGAAATCTAAAACTAACATTTTCAATATTCTTACATTGATATTTCTATACCTATGACTCCTTGCTGTCTGATTATACAAAATTTACGTTTTTCTCCCATTTATCACTCGAGTCATCACGCAAGCAGCAAAACACAGAGGCTTTAAATTCTCAATATGCTATTTTTTGTTAAAGACCATTGCTATTTTCTCTCCCCCAACTCCTCCAAAATCTCTGAAGAAAACTGACATGCAGAGAAACACTACTCACCATCAAACTCAGGGAAGTAGTCGACCAAATGGGAGTACATAATCTTTTCTTCCAAGAGATCCTTCTTATTTAAGAAGAGAATGACTGAGGAGTTTTGAAACCAGGGATATGTGATTATCGTCCTAAATAGTGCTTTGCTCTCCTCCATTCGATTCTGAAAATATGGTTATAAGAAAAACTGCTGAAAGCTATACCAAATGTTGTTCTGATGTCCTGTATTGTAAACTTCCATTCATAAATTTTCAGAAAGGTTTCAAGTAACAAGCATAATTCAAAACTTATGCAATATTTAGCATATCATCACCACAGGAAAATAGTTTCCTTACATTTAAATATTCAAGTAAGAAAGCCTAAAATTTACAAGTACCAGACCACAAATAAACTATTTTCTTATATTTTCAATCTATTAAAGTACTTTTCCCTTGATATTTTGGCATCTAATGCAGCACTGGTTTTAAGACTGTCTTTAAAAACAGACATACCTCATTATCAGATTCTACAAGAACCTGGTCGTATTCACTTAGTGCCACTAGAAACATGATGGATGTCACGTTTTCAAAGCAATGAATCCATTTCCTTCTTTCTGATCTCTGGCCTCCAACATCCACCATTCTAAAAAAGTTTTAATTAAAGTAATATTTAGGAGCATGCACAATATTAAATTGTCAATCAAAATCCTACGATACATTAAATACAAAGATTACGTATTCACTCAGTATAAAGTGATTGATCAGTTTTTCTTTTAAAAAGTATTTTACACAATATTTCTGGCTAGTTTGCCCAGAAAGAACTACCAATTGATAAAATAAAAAAGAACTAAAAAAGATCTAAAACAAAACAAAATACGTCTATTTTAATTCTAAGTTCTGTCTGCAGCACAGAGCTCCACATAACAGGGAAAAAGTACTGAGTCTTTAGAATATACATAGTGTGAATGGTTGGTAAGAGAAAACATGAACAGGAAAACTGACTTGACTGATCAGTTCTGATTTTCATTTGAAAAATGTAGATAAGTGTGTGTTAGGTAAGTGTACAATATGAAGAAAGGATAAGACAAACCCGATAAAAGTAAGGCATTTCCAGTGGTTTAGGGGTCAAAAACAAGGAGCCATGGATAAGAGACTTTAAAGGCAGGGTAAGGAAAAAAAAACAGTTCTTAAAATGATGGTTCTTACAAACGTAGGGCGAATAAGAACACTGGGGATAGAGTAGAAATCCCAAATAACGTTAGTAAATACTCTAAAATGGTGGCTTCTACTTTTAGTAACTGGAATAGGACTAACTCTTTCTTTCTTTCTCCTGACTGAGAAACCAGCTAAGGTAATCAAATGCTTCACATCTGCTCTTGGCTTCATGTTGCCATAATTCCTCAAATTGCTCATAATTATTAACTCAAAAAGTCAAGGAAGTGTAAACATTCAAATTCATACGAGAACGTGCCATTACATGTGAGCACCAGTAGTATATGTGACTTATAATTGTATTTTTCAATTACCAATGCAGAGCAGGTCAAAGGCATAGATTTTGTGTAAGGAATTATTTTAACATCACAGTACACATTTCATTTGGAGATAGTACGAACTGCCGATGCTGGAGTCAGAGATAACAGTGTGGAGCACAGCAGGCCAGGCAGCACCAGAGCAGGAAAGCTGACTTTTCAGGTCGGGACCCATCTTCTGAAGTGGGGGGCGGGGGGGGTGCTCTGAACTAAAGAGAGAGAGAAGGGGTGGGCTCAGGAAGGTAGGTGGGATGGTGATAGGTGAGTGCAGGTAGTCAGTGGTGGGGATTGGTCAGTGAGGTGGCAGCAGAGGATAGGTGGGAGAGAAGATGGATAGGTTGCGTCAGGTCAAGGAGGTGGGGATGAGAGGGAGGATTGGTCAAGGGAGGAGGCTGGGGGTGTAGAGAGATTTTGAAACTGGTAAAGTCCACATTAAGACCATTGCGTTGTAGGCTCCCAATATTCCATCTGAATTTAAGTATTGACAACATTAATGTTGACTGCAAAATGTAAAATCAAACTTTTAATCCAAGCAGTTGATGTATATAAAACTTAAAAAGTAACAACTTTGAAATTGTTTTAACACAGTCATATTAAATTGTTTATTCAATGTGCAACACTAAATGGAAGCAACACGAAAGAATAAAAATATACGTGAAGTCTAAGATTTTGAGATGATTTAAGATTCTAACCCACAAATCTATAAAACAGCACAGCCATTTCTGTAATCATGTCGGTATCAAAAAAAATACTTGAATGGACCTTAACATTTTCATCTCTTCTTTTTCAATAATCTATTATTTTACAGTGTTGTTAATCAATTTCCTATAATTAAAGAGAAATACAGTTAGATTTGAAGCCTTTTGTCTCAGCCATAATGACATATTCCAAGAAGAATGCATGAGGTGAATGGTGGGCAGATACTTCTTCACAGTAAAATAAAGATGGCACAAAGTTCCACTGATTCTGTACTTCCCTAAAATGAAACTCAAGTACATTAGTTATAAGTTACTTGAATTTGTTACATTAAAAGGCAAACAAAAGGAGAAATTCATTACCAATTTTTCTTTCAACTTTTTAGCAGCTGGTGCTTCATATATGGAACATACGGGCCAGCAGCAGAAGTTGTTATATGTCCGCAAACAAAACCTGGCACAAGGTCAGGCCCTGCAATTTAAAAATTTCTTCAAGCTCTATTTATGATTAGGTGAAGCACCATTTTTTTCTCACTTTTTACAAAACAATAATGCTGCCCACACATTTTCACCATTAATAGTACTATGCAAGAGGGCAGGTTAAACTTTCATCAGCCTGACAAAGTTTTTAAAAACCAGAACATAAATGAAAACCAAAATTTCAAGAGTTTTAAGGGTAAAGAACAAGGGAATTTCGATACTAGCATTTTTTTTTTAATAAAGGAAAGAAAACTTCTGGGCAAAGTGCATTTAGTCCCTGGTGTTTAGGACATGGCAGCCTACCAGTTTGACAAATGATGCCTTGTAGAGGTAGACCAAAATAACACTACTGTAAACCGTACGACCTAATTTTCTATACAGACGTGTCCTATTTATCCACAGTACAGTCAACTTCTTAGTATTTCCAAACTAGTACAAATGTGAACTTGGTCAAACATTTTGACTTGAACTTCAAAAATTTAAATCAGCACGCAAATCAGCACCCAAATTAATCAACTTACAGAAAATGACAAAGAATTAGGCATAAATTCACAGCAATATTTTAGTTTCCTTTTTTAAAATGGGCAAAATTTGATATACAAAGCATTAAACTTATTTCAGTAATAACACTTGCTTCCAGAATGAACATGCGCAAAAATGCAATGCAATCGATAAAATCAGTTACTGATTTTCAGGAACCACCTTCTACCTGAAGATGATGCTTTGTAAGTCGAATGGGTATTCAATGATCCCTGTTGTTGGGATTCGAACTCTAAGGACATCCTGCTGGGTAGGCAGATAGGCAGGATCCGATATACGATCCAAATCACTAAGATAGCTATAAATGAAGGAAAAACACATGAATACAAAAATTCAAGCATATGAACTCCCAACGATAAATGTGCAAATGAGCTTCCCAATGTGTGCTATGAATAACCCTTAGGGGTTATTTTATTTTCTAAGCCATGTGGAGAGGGGAGGATGGAATATTTTTCTTTGTACCATTCACTGAGATAGAGGTCACAAATACATCCCATGATACAAGGAGTATTCTCTCAGGACAACTGATCTACACATTTTGTTTCATCTGCAGCCACATACTCCATCACAGTTGACAGTCACCTTGACAATACCGCGCTCAATGAAAAGAAAAAATCCTACATGCTTTTAAAATTTTCCTGTTCATTATCCACAAAACAAATTTCTAGAAAAATGAGACAGTACCAAAAAAGTTCAATGGAGAATTAGCTTTTGGCTAAACCAACATGAATTAATGTTGAGCAAAATTACGTGGGGGCAAATCAACTGTAAAAAGGAGGCGATGTAGCTATAACTTGGATAAAACATTTAGATTGGCCAAATAGCACAGCAGTTACCAGCTTTATCCAAGTAGCCACAGGACTGTATGAGAGAAAACAGGCAAGGAATTGGTTCATCTTCTCACATGATCAGCTTCATTAAGTGAAATATCCTGCCATTCAATTAATCAATACTATCCGCATCTCCTCCCATGACATGGTCGTCACCAGCAATATTAGCCTATACTACCCATTATCCAGTGAAGGGGAGGAGAAATGGGGTCATCTTCTTGAACTGTTACAGTCCAAATAGTGAATGTGCTGCTACATGTTTCTATTTCAAGATTTTTGACTCAATGACAGTGACAATGAAAGAAAATCAGTCCATCCCCGTGTTAAGAGAACACGTGCAGAGTAGAACTTGGAAGTGCTGATGTGCGCACGTACCTACTGCCTTTTTCCTTTAGTTGGCAGTGGAGGTTCCCATTGAAAGGAAATTTACACTGCAGAAAATTTTTTGTTGAAGTTGCATTTCTTTAATCAACAGCAAATTTCATAACATCTGCAGAATCACTGTCATATTTGAGCTTAAGTTATTAATGTTAAATGTTGACCATGCCTATGCACCCAGTGTAAGTAATTAGTTTGCACTAAAATAGTGCCCAGTCCTTGTTATCTAAAAGGTCCCAGAATCTGCTCATGATATTTATACATGTAGCGGAATTTTCCAATATTTTGTTTGAGCATTGAGGTAGGTGCGAAAGGCAGTAACATGCCACCCTTATCATTCAAATTCTAACAGTTGTGTGCTAAGCAGCTTAAGAGCCAAAATGATGAGCCTCTCAGCCTATCATAGGCGTCAACACGTAGGTGTACACTATGGCACAATGGGCATTAATTTCCCCTCCCCAGAGGTGACAAGCAAGTGAAATGATTGGGCAGGTTGGCCCTAGAGATTAGTGTTCAGGTTTCCAGAAGGTGTTGACAAATTACAGGGGAGGTCCTAAAGTCTGCAGGTCCAGGCCTGCTTCGTGTGTGGGGTAGCAGTACTTTTCAATAGCATCAAATGTAATGTGTATTTGCATCTTCAGGGTGTTGGATCAATTCATTGGCAATTTAAAATATCCAAGGTTGTAGTCATATCACTTTGTTTGCTGAGAAGCTTCTTCTCATTGTTTGTGAGATTAACTATAAGAAATGTATTGGACATGTTTTTTAAAAAAAAACAGAGTTAGACCATATACAGAACCATGGTTGAACTGGACTTAATGGAGCTGAATTCTGTTCAGTCTTCATCCCTGTTGAGATATGCAATTTCACATCACGATGCAGCCTTGCTATTATTAGCATGTAGCTATTAATCCCATATGCTGCCCACGCCCCCATCTAAGTCACTAACATAAGCCCTAAGTGATGGGTGGTTTGAGCAAACAGTCTGATCATGTTCTTAACTCCTTTGGAAGGCTTGCAGAAGGGCATGTGAATCATGTAGTGGGGTAGTCAGCTGTTGTCTTGGTTACCTTTTTTAAAATGGGCAAAATTTGATATACAAAGCATTAAACTTATTTCAGTAATAACACTTGCTTCCAGAATGAACATGCGCAAAAATGCAATGCAATCGATAAAATCAGTTACTGATTTTCAGGAACCACCTTCTACCTGAAGATGATGCTTTGTAAGTCGAATGGGTATTCAATGATCCCTGTTGTTGGGATTCGAACTCTAAGGACATCCTGCTGGGTAGGCAGATAGGCCTAATACATTTCCAATACATTTCTTATAGTTAATCTCACAAACAATGAGAAGAATCTTCTCAGCAAACAAAGTGATATGACTACAACCTTGGATATTTTAAATTGCCAACAAATTGATCCAACACCCTGAAGATGCAAATACACATTACATTTGATGCTATTGAAAAGTAGTGCTACCCCACCAATTGTATTCTTAAATATATCTTGCTGCTTTCCCCCTCTAATCTTTAAGTGCTTTGTACTTCAGTCACCGCTGATACCTTTCTTTAGTTGGTGCTTTACTCTGCTTCATTTTAGACTACAGCCCAATCTCTTCTATTCACAGCATTGAATTGTGTACGTGTTTCCCTATTTTAAAAAAGGTTTTCCAGTCAAATTTCCTTCCACTTCAACATCAACTTTCATTAATATTGTACTGTGCAACAGTAGTTGGTATAAAGACAGCACAAGTCAGTCTTCCCAGTATTACAGCCCTCTGTTGCATGAAATGACAGAATAGTTGCTACTAATAACATCAGAAAATTGTACTATGATCTTCCCTCACTGTAGGGGTATAAAAACTGAATGCTTCAAGTTTGAACAGGACTCTCTTAAACTGACTTTATGAGAGTAAAGAATTAAAAAGTCTCTTAAAAGTGCTCTTTGCTCAAAGCAAAAATAAACAGATTACATCTGCACAATGTTATTGTGTGGCTTGTTGCAATATTTTCTTTGCATATGTGCAATATGTGCGTGCTACTGGAAGCATGAATTAATTTGACACATACTGCAGTACAGAAAATGAAATCTGATGTAATGCCACTTTACAAGACTAAGAATGATGATTTTTGGTGTAGGATTATCTAAAGTTTTAAAAAAGAAAGATGGACCCAAATAACAAAAAAAGGATAGCTTGAGAAATAAAGGCTGGAATTTTAAGCATACATATTTTCCTGCATCAGATTTGAATAAATACATCAGGGTACAAAAATCTGTGACATAAGGAGGTAAGTTTGTTAACTGCAATTTGAATTTTAGCTTGCTATCAAAAGTCAATGTCTATATTTAAATGCACAAAATTGCAGTTTCCAGCTGGATGAGCTTCAAAGAGACCAAAGAAGTCTGTTTTTTTTTGCAATTACTGAAATTGGAGTCAACTGGTTTTAAACTAATTTGTAATAAGTTATCTTCAAGTTCAGAATGTTCAGTTTCCACTGCTCTTTATGATAATTAAATGACATCACTTGTAGAGATGGTGCTACAAAAGATATGGAGTTTCATCTTCCTAAAACAAATGGGTTTCCAAATTGTGGTGAATACTTAAAATTTGATCAGAAAGTAGGAAAGCATTCAACATGACAAGGCAATTACCAAGGGCCCAAAGGACAGTGTATAAATAATCTGATCCCCACAAATTTAATGTTCAATTCAATGTTAGCACATCACCTAGGCAAAATAATTCTTTTAAAAAATGCATAAATCAATCAGTTCACAGAAAGCCAACAATACATATGCTGCGAGGGCTCAGACACTAAAGCAGTCCATATCCAAATGCAACAAGATCTGGACAAATGATTCAGACTTAGGCTGGCACATGGCAAGTAACATTTGTGCTACACAAATGTCAAGCAATGGCCACTTCAACAAGAGATAATCTAACCATCTATTGGTATTTAATAGTGTTAGCATCACTGACTTGCCCCATTAGCAACACACTGGGGTTACAGTGGATCAGAAACTGAACTAGACTAGCCATACACAGAGTGGCGAAAAGGCAGGCTACAGGCTAGGAATCCTGCGGTGAGTAACTCACCTCCTGACTCCCCAAAGTCTTCTCAAAGCAAAAGTCAGTAGTGTAATGGCAGACTCCTCACTTACCTGGATGAGCGCAGCTCCAATAGTCAAGGAGCTTGACCCTAAAGCAGGACAAGCTAGCCTGCTTGACTGGCACCATAATCACTAACATCCACCTCCTTCTCTGGTGATGCTCAATAGCAGCAGTGTGCACCATCTACAAGGTGCACTGCAAGACTCTTAAGACAGCACCTATCAAACTCACGACCAACTCTAACTGGAAAGTTGAGGGCAGCAGATATATGGGAGTACCACCACCTGCAAGCTCCCCTACAAGTCATTCGCCATCCTGACGTGGAAATTTATCTCCATTCCTTCAGGACAAAATCTTGAAACTCCTTTTCTAATAGCATTGTGGGAATAGCTACAGAAATGGACTGTGCAGTTTTTGGCACTAACTCTCCACCACTTTTTCAAGTGAAACCACAGACTAGCAATAAATGCTAGCCCAGCCAGCAATACACATCCCATGAATAAATTTGAATAAACTGCCTTCTCAAACTGTAGTTGAACTGAGTGCAGTACACCCACAGTATTGTAGGCGAAAAAAAAAGTCTCAGGATTTTGATCCATCAGCAGCGAAGGAGCAGCAATATAGTTCCAAGATAGGATTGTTTGGCACTTGCAGTTGGCAAGGCTCCCATGAATCTGCTGCCCTTGATGTTTTAGGTGGCAGAGGTCACAGTACTGTCGAAAGAGTCTGGCTGAGACACTGCAATGCCTCTTCTGGATGGTACACACTTTGCCTTCTTTGTCCTGATGGTGCCTTTTTGGGTGTTGCCAGAGCTGCACACATCTAGGGAAATGTAGAGTATTCTATCACTTTACTGATTTGTTTCTTCTGGATGGTGAACAGGCATTGTGGTATAAATGATGCTAAAGATTGCAAAATCATCAACAAACTTCCCTAACTCTAACGAATGATGGAGGACAGGTCATTGATGATGAAGCTAAAAATATCTGAACTGGGATTCCACCCTGAATAACTCCCACAGTGATATCGTAGGACTATGATTGACCCCCAACAACCGTAGCCACCTTGTTTTGTGCCGAGGATGGCTCCAATAAGCAAGGAATTTCTCGACCCATCTCAAATCCTAATGACCAGTTCTGCTAGGGCTCTTGGATACTATACTTAGTCAAACGCTAACTGGATATCAAGGGCAGCCTCTGTCACTTCACCTCTTGGTCCACGTTCGAAGCAAGTCTGCAATGAGGTCAGAAGGTGATTGGTCTTGGTGGAACTCACATTAAACAGTTTCTTCTGATAAATAAATGCCAATTAATAGCACTGGCTGAGACCCTCATCATATGGGGAATAGACTGAGATTGTAATTGGCCAGATTGGATTATTCTTGCATATAAGGATATCTTAATTTCTTAAGGCTATCTCACTCATATTAGCAATGATCAAGACCAAGTTCTCCTCAAAAGTTGAAAATTTTATAAAAGGGAGACAAGTGCATAGTCAGTATTTTTGGATACGTCACGTATTTTATTTGACCAAATCTGTTTCTATCACAATCTTAAGTAGGGTGACTGTCCCTTTGTATTCTTAGGTGGAATGAAAATTAGAGATGCACAGAGAGAAAACACTTCTTTTTGTGAAATAATTAGATCATTGTTAAGAAAATCAAGCAAAGTATCCGAAAACTCCAAACCAACTACCAATAATGGTCGTTGTTCACCAGAATCCAACGCTTACTCCTTTCAGGAGCTAGGATATCTAGTTCAAGAGGGTAAAGGATACGGCACAAGAAACCAGATTGCTCAATGTCAAATTACAAAGCACACATTTTTAATATCCACTTGAGATATTGATTGTTTGGAATTGTCAAAATTGGTGTCAGAGTATCCCCTCGTTATCTCTTTCCTTTATATTGTTGATACCAGAAATGCATAGAAGCTATTTTTCCAAAATATAAAAAGGTAGGTATTACAACTGTCTTGATAAGGTGACTTAGCAAGCATCATTCTTCACGATTGTATGAACAGTTCATTCAATATCTGTTCTCTATTTGAAATGTAGTGGCATAATTTTAATGATCTGCCACTTAAGGGAGCCCCAACACAAAGGTCACCTCACCTCGGTATTGTTTGGGAATTCAAAAAGGATTAGACAGAAACTTTGGAGGAAAAGATTGTTAGTTCTATGAATGGACTTGACAGACAGTTGTTGTTCAGGGCGACTACAGATCTATAATAAGTGTAACAAGTCTCTGTCTATTTTTCAGTTCTTTTGTACAATCACACTCCAGTCCATGTAGGACTTCTGGTTATATTATTTAATAAAACCTTGTGTACCAAACTGATGCTATAGCTGCAGTCCAAATCCAATAGAGTTTGCAGTGTATTGCCTTCTTTTTACCCAAAAAGGTATTACTGAAAACAAGGCATATTCTGTCAAAGCCCTTTGACTTATACTTGTCAGGGCAATTTGTATGAAATACCAAAGAGAAACAACACTTACACTGTACTGTTCTGATGAATGCAAGGTGAAAAACATCAATAAAATGCTTTTTTCCAACTATATTCAAGTTCAGTACAGCAAGTAACTTTGGGTACAAAGCAGCAGATTAAAAATTGTATTAACAGGTGAAATATTCTATATTAATTTTATGCTATCTACTTTTTAAGAAATAAATAACACACTATAAAGAACATGTCACACTACTCAACTAACTTAGGAAGTTGCTATATGACAACATTCCTGATCAATTTCCAAATAATCATACATAGCTGTGAGTAAGGGGTCATTTAACTAAGTCTAAAGCCAAGTTCTACTAAAGCATTCTCAATGCAAAACTTGCTGCTCTTTGTTTGAGACACTGAGTTATCATGTCATTTTTAGATATTTACAATCATATATGAAATTGTTAGATTTGAAGTTAAGTCTATCACCAGACAGGAGGTAGGACACATCAATTTCAATGGGTTTCATAAAATTATTCAGATTGTGTTCCTTAAATCAAAGGAATGAATTCAGAATTATTTTGTTATTAAAATTATTTGCAGTACTTTTTAGCCTCAAGTATTGCATAAAGATTAAACTAAGAGTTGTTGCGCATGTTTGAATTTGGAACCTCATCAGATTGGTTTGTTTTCTCTATTTGTTTAAGAATGAATCAATTTTAAAATGCACTAAAATGCTGGATTTCACAATTTGTGCAATGCAGATGACTCTGGCATACATCTTTTCAGGTCAAAATAACAAAGTTACATAATTAAAGCAGTTACAAATATATTAATATGCATGAGCTTGATTTTGTATTCAAAGCATTCAGAGATCATACTCATTGACTTTAGAAGTCACGAGAGTCTCAACTCCTGCTTTCACTCAAGTTGCTCCAAACAAGTCACGTACTTACTATTTAGCAGAGTCTGACAATTGATACTCTCGCCTTCGATCATAGCATTCTTGAATTCCCGGATCATTCCACAGAGTTTTTATTGCACTTGGATATGGACTATTGAACGAGGCTACTTTTTCTACATCAACCTCTCGAATCAATTGTGCATTCGCCTACAAAACAAAATAGAAAATATATTAAGTTCTCTATTTGGCTCTTCAACATAAGGAATTATCATCTATTGCTATCTATCATCCAAACTAAATACATAAAGGACTGATTATGTAAAAGCAAAACTTAAGCATCAAACCACGAGTGACAAGGACTGCTCCTTCGACTGCAGAACAGACAGGTATTTACTATCTAACTCCACTTGTCTTCTCTTGGCCTTAACGTTAAAGACACTTGTATGCCCGACATGGTCCAATCCTGCGCTAAGACCACTTGCTCTATGCTCTTACAATCTCAGTCAAGATCAAACTTATGTTACCATGTGGTTAGGGACCAGTATCTTTTTACGTAAAAAAAAAAGTTAAGTTTGAGATCCCGGTTTGAGACCCATCAAGAGAATAAAGTCACAAGAGCCCACAACTGTGAACAAACAAAATAAACTTGATTATGTAGGGAGTTAGATGTATAAAACAACATGTAACTTGTGCTCTAACATCCAAAATTAGACAAATATGTGTCAACAGACAAATCATCTAGGAAGGTGATGGCTTGGTGGCGTTGTTGCCACCAAGTAATCCAAAGACCCAGGATATGTTCTAGGAGTATTGGCTTGAATCCCAACATGGCAGATGGTGAAATTGGCATTCAATAAAATATCTGGTTTTAAAAGTCTAAAAGATGACCCTGAAACCAATGTCGATTGTTGTAAAAACTCAACTGGTCCACTCATGTCCTTTAGGGAAGGAAAACTGCCATCCTTACCTGATCTGGTCCATATGTGACGGCAGGCCCACAATGTGGTTGGTTGACTCTTAACCGCATTCTGAAATAGCCTAGCAAACCATTCAGTTCAAGGGCAAATGGGGATGGGCAACAAATCTCCCAAATCTTATGAATGAACAAACAATAAAAAAGAACAACCCACAGACCACTTTAAGTAGCAGATGCAGTCTCAACAGACTCCATGGATTTCTTTGCAATCTACCAAGATGTTAAGTGACCAAATCTTGGCCTCCTTTATTGTGGATTTCAATTCTTTAAGTCCAAAAATCATTCTTGAAAGTTTCACAAAGCTGCTAATCACAGACTGATTGCTCATCTTCCAGTGGTTGAATCTTTTTCCCTGCACTCCTTCGAATTCTCAAGGCTACTCTCTAAGATCTACTAACATCTCAATTCCAACTCTTCACAAACTACTTGTTTCACAAAGCCGATGCTTTCCCTGCATTCCCCAAGTCCCATGTTTGTATGGTGCAAATACCATTTGCAGTCTGCCTTCACTTCCTTTTTTAGCTTCTAAATGTCTCCTGGGGCTTCAATGAGCTCTCCAGCTCTTCAAAGCTAACCACAACATTATGTTTGCTGAGACACCGTCATTGGCTGCTCCTCTCTCTCTCCCCAACACAGATCCAGCAACATTCCACCATGTCCTCAATTCCTCAATGTTCCTCAAGCCCTGGTGGACTGGAGTCTGCTAACAACATGCATCTGCTAAGTGAAGCTTTTTCCTCTTGCTTATAAGTACCTGTGTGAGCAGCAGCCCGAAGGAGTGACTTTTTGCTTCGAACACCTGACTAAGTTCAATGAATTCCCCCTTCAGGTGCTCCCCAGTACCATGGTCTCCTCTTTCATGTCAACCTCCACAAGAGATGCACTACCATTTTGATCTGTAGGCCTTTCAGCTGTTTAAAGACAAAGCATGCACAATCTATCATGCTGCCACTCTGCATAATGCCAGAATTCTTTGGTGGAGCCTGAAACAATGCAAGTTCAACTGTCTTAATTCTATTACCACGGAAAATGTTTTTCTTTTATTTTAAGAAATCCATTTTCTTTAAAATTTCTTCCCCTCCAAGATCATCAATCTTTTGAATACAAGGCAATACAAGCTAAATTTATACAAATCTGTTCCACAATTTTATTTTTAACATGTGCACCATATCCCTTCCAACTTAAACTATCTTGCTTAAAGTAAACATAATATAAACGCAAGTTAGTGTTGAATAGTAGACAGTATTATTTTCTTTTAGGAAGTAAAACTCTGAATGGGTTCCCATCCCAGTAACCATTTCAGAACCCTGGATTCAAAATCTAGTATCAAATCCAAACTTCTATGGGATCCTTAAAAAAATTTAAAAATAGGTAAAACAAGGTAAAAAGCATCCGCCAACGATGAGTAGTTTTAGCCATACATACATTCTTTTTCTGTTTGAGGACATTTTTTTCAACATGACTTCAAACAGTGTACTTCTGTAATTTAAACTCTTTTTTTAATAGGAATATTAGGCCTCAATTTCTTTATCTCATCAGCATTGGATTTTGAAAACTTAGGTATATTATGTGTTTTCATTACAGAACAGTAAGTTGCTATCTTTAAAAGTTGGGTGTCATTGACCTTGTCATAAACATTGCAGATCCTCAATTAAACTGTACAGCTTCTAAAGAACATAATTTTAATGATACAGGGAATCAGTGACTAACGTTGCTCCTTTTAGAGTTGTTTCATGAAACTGAGTAATCAGAATCGGAAATATCACTGGAGTATCGTGATTCATACTAATACAATTTACTGCAATGACTCACCCAACCCAAATGGGATAATTTCAGTGTCTGCTCCCCCCTCTCAGACATGCAGTCTTTCCCTATGCTGCACTACTGCTCCAAGTCTTCCCCAGGATATCCCCACCCACCAGATTCCACACTATCCTGCCAGAGGCACTGCCATCTATTCAGCCAAGGTGCCTATGAGGGACCCCACCCAGACATGATAGTGCCACCTCTCCCAGCATGCAAGGTACAGGCTATTGTCGAGCTTGACAAGTGCTCCCCCACCAGCGTGCTGGCCTCACCTGTCTCAGCAGCACCACCCTGCCCCGCCCCATAGGGCACTGCTTGGCAGGTCCACTCTCCTGCCCAGAAGCTGTGTTCCACAGCCAACAGAATGAAGAGGAGCCACCAAACCCCATTTAGACCAAGCAGCCATCATCCCAAACTATGACAAAACCTAGATGGCTCCTCCATGTTTCCCTATTAGCTTTGCATCACAATGCCAAGGCAGGCACCTTAGCCTAGTGACCATGGCCAATACCACAACAGAGAGAAATAAATGCTGGTAAATCTAACCTACCAATTAGAAGGGAGAGGAAAGGCAAGAAACTGCAGCCAGCCAAGAAGCACAGCCACACTGAGCAGAAGAATAAAGCGACTGCCAAAGGGTACCACAGACCCCACTAAGTTACCACCAAGCAGCAGACACTGCCACCAGGGACAAACGAGGGCCTCAGCAGCTGGCCCAGAGCCTAATGAGAAAATAAACCCTTTGGTGCAGACCCCAGATAGCAAAACCACCATCCTGGCTCCACTCAAAGGGTTCACGGCAGGGGGCATAGTAAATAGAAGTTTTCTTTACTATTTTTAACTGCATTTTATTTTAACCGTTATTTCATGTAGCAAGGTAGGACTTCAGCATTTAATGCATCGATGGTACTGCATTTCAAAGTAGTGTATTTTTTAAAAACTTTTACGAAGATCTCGAAGAACCTAACTCTGGTTTTAACATTAATTCCTATGGAAATCAATGCTTCACTTAAAGTCTTTTCAATTAAAATTAAAATTTTCAGGACAACAACCCTGATTTTAAATAAGAACACCCTTCACTAAAGAAATAACTTCTAGTTTAAATAGACAGACATAGACCACATTTTAGATCTACATGATACTTCGTTGCAAAGCAGTTAGTGGTTTGGCAACGATTTTGATTGAAAACAGATGGAATTCAAGATCAAAAGAAATACCACTTTCAAGTTGAGAATATACAAAACAATAACAGCATTTAGGAAATGTTACCTCTGTTGTAAAAAAACTGCCAGACAGTTATGAGAAAAAAAAAGTACGTCCCTTGCAAAAATTAATTTAAACAGAGGAATTAGTGTGGATTCAGAAAATGAAAAGGTTCTAACAAGAAGGGTGTTATTTCAAACCTCATTTCTGATTAAGAGATTAAACAGTATTATACAAACCCATATACCCTTAAAACTTCACATACTTGCTCATTTGCGATATACTTGTGAATTTATTTCAGAGGAGGGGGTAAAGTGCAAAACACTGCTAGCTTATAACTAATTCCTTGATTTCTGAATATTTGTTCTGATGCATTTAAGTCTGAAACAAGATTTTCAAAGTTAGTCATCCAACTCTCAATTATTTAGGTAACTTATCTATTGGATGGACTATGAGCCAGAGATAAGACAGGGAATGTCATCAGGCTATCCATCTATTGGAGGCACAAATTTTTAAAAAGAAAATTATTGCAGTTAGACGTTTTATAATTATGACAGGAATTAGCCGGGGAGTCCAGAAAGAACAACGTTTGAAAGCATGAAAACACCATCTGGCAGCACCAAACTGAAAACGTTGATGATTTTGTTCTATTTGCACTACAGTAAAAATGTTTGAGTGTTCTGGTCAAATTTATCAGTTCAGCTGATATATAGGTTTATCACATAGGAGGTACAACTTGGAGGTTTCAAAACACTTGCACACCCCTCCCCACTTTAAGACAATAATTATTAATTGTACTCTTGGTAGAGTGCAAAGATAGTGAAGCATAGCAAGGCCCTGGTGAGTTAAAACAAGGATTTGGCGTAATTTTGGAAAAACAAACATCCCTGATACAACTGAAATAACAGTGTCCAGAATCAAAACCAGGAGGTCCTTCAATGGGACTAAGAATAATTAAAAAATTAGGTATATTTACATTTGAGCAACAAATAAAAAATATACTTAAGGAGAATAAGTGACTGAGAGTTGGTTGAAGGACAGTAGATAGGACTGCCTAAAGCAGACAGCAGCCCTGAGTTAAAAAGTCTTCAATAAGAGCATCCTGCATCATTGGTAAGGAGAACCTTAATTTCTGGGCCTCGTGGCAGACTTCCTCCACTCCAGAATCAGCTTATTCAGCAAACATAATGCAGATGGTCATGTCTGACTTCAGCAAAGTTCCAAGTCTGCATTCTCATCATCTCTCACAAATGGAAAGATACTAACTAGAAGTAAACATGGTTGTGAACGTGTCTTAGCTGCGGTATCTCCATAGCCTTAGGAGATTCATTATTTAATTTCAGGCATGAAAAAAGGTCAGTTAAAACAGAGGAGACTCATCTAGGGATGTACTGCATCAAACAGATATGAATATTTTATCAATACATCATCAACAAGCTCATGAAACTAATCTTTTAAATAGTGCAACTTGATACACTAATCCTGAAACTTGTCTTAATTACTGAACATTGCCAAGGGTAGGAAGCTAGAATAGGAAAACAAATCAAACCTCAAACTGATATTTAATCTTCATAGAATGCAATTATTACAAGATGGTTAAAAAATGGCACACTCCAGCTCCCCATATTCTTTTATTCATTAACTTGAAGTCATCCAAAAGACTAATGCTCATATCTTAACTGAGCTAGTCCTGGACCTGTAGTGGCTCCCAATCAAGCAATGTCTTGATTTACAAATTTTCATTCTCATTTTCACATTGCTCTATGACCATGCCCGTCTTCATAATCTCCTCTAACCCACAACCTTCAAATTCTGGCCTCTTGTGCAGTCCCAATTACAACTGCTTCATCTTTGGTAGCCATGTCTTCAGATGCCTAAGCCCTGGAACTGTCTCCCTACATCTCGACCTCTCCCTCTTGCTCAACCTGTAAAGGGAAGAGCTGGCACAACAGGAAAGACACTGTAGTAATTCACAGGCCCAGAGTCTGTGGAAATGGGTTCAACTTCCACAATGCAGCTAGTGCAATTTAAATTCAATTAAAACATTTGGAAATGAAATTTTCATCTCAGTAATGGTGTCATAAAAAATGTAGACATGTTGTACAAACCCATGTGGTTCATTAATTGCTAGATTTGAGATTAAAACAAGGATTTGGCGTAATTTTGGAAAAACAAACATCCCTGATACAACTGAAATAACAGTGTCCAGAATCAAAACCAGGAGGTCCTTCAATGGGACTAAGAATAATTAACTGCCCTCTGACATAGTTGAATAGGCCTCACAGATTTGGCAATGAGTAACAAATGCAAAAATTGCCAGCAACATACACATCCTATAAAGAACAATTGATAAACCACTTTGAAGCAAGCTTTTGATCTGACCTAATTTCTCCTAATGTGTCTTGGTGCACAACAAGCCACAATCATAAGTCATGACACCAGGTCATAGTCCAACAAGTTTATTTCAAATCACAAGCTTTTGGAGTGCTGCTCCCTCAGCAAGTGAAGTCTTCAAAAGTTTGAGATTTCAAATAAACCTGTCAGACTATAACCTGGTGTCATGTCACTTCTGACTACCTACCCCAGTCAAACATTGTCAGCTCCACATCAGAGGAGAGATACCTGCGGATAATTGGAAACCAATGAGAAACAAGGTGTCAAGCAATACACTTTGTTTTCTGCCACGAGCAAGTTTTGAATATTTAGAGAAGCAGATAGAGAACAGATAGAGAAGCAGAGACCTTCATGGTAACCTCAACTGATATAGGAATTGAAGCCATGCTAGTGGCATCACTACATTATTGTACCATCTGTCCAGCCAAATGTATTAACTTCGTAGATTAAGTGCTACAAGATATGAAGAACCAATAGTTATGGGACTGAACTACCAGACAATACAAGTTTAAATCCAACTAACACAAAAACTTGAAGTCAAATTTGAAAAGCTTGCAAATACTAATCGGAGTTCTTGAAATTTTGCAAATAGTCATATAGTTTACTTATGTCCTTTAGGAAAGACAACTTGATATCCTTATCCATTAAAGGGTAGATATCTATGGCGCAGCGAGGATGACACTTACAGCCAAGTGCTTTGCTAGATGACTTCAGAGAATTGTATCAAAATGCTAAGGGAGAATTCAAGAAAAGACCACTGTCATGTCCTAAAAGAAACTACAGATGGGCAATAAAAGCCAGCCCTGCCAGCAATTACATCCAATAAATAGATTAAGATAACCCAGACCAAAATGACATGATTCATTCACAAGAAAACAAAGCCAATTCAAACTTTACCTAAAAATTATTACAACCCCACTCCAAGTGGACAGTTCTGGTAGTGTACCTACCCAAGTCAAGGAGCCTGGGTTCAATCCCTGCTGCTCCAGGTGCATAATAATGTCTCTGAACAAGCTAATTAAAAATATGAACAGTGATGTCTTCACATCTCTAACCAGAGACTACGGTGAATCGCAGAATTATTACAGTACAGAAGGAAGCCATTCAGCCGAAAATGTCTACCTTCGTCCTCCAAATGAGTACTTGGCTTAGTATCATTCTCCCAACTTTCCTCATATCTCTATTAAACGATTAAACGATTCCAGGAGTAGAAACAAGGTCTCTCAAGTGCCTGGACTGAGCCTGCCTTCACCGCTCTTGCAGGCAGTGCATTTCAGATCCCAACTACTTGCTGTGTGAGAAAGTTTCTTTTTGCATGAAATCACTAAATCTGTTCCCTCTTGTTCATGATCCTTTACAAGTGTCATAAGTTCCTCCCTGCCTAAGCTGACAAGATTTCTCTGGATTTTGAAAGTTTCCACCAAATCTCCTCTTTGCCTTCTCTCTCATGAAAACTGTCCCAACATTTCAAATTTATCCTCATAACTGAAGTTCCTCATCCTTGAGATCTTTCTTGTAAACCTCTTCTACAATCTCTCCAATGCATTCTCATCCTTCCTAGAGAGTGGTACTCAGAACTGCACACTATAATTCTGGATAAGGTCCATTTAAATGACAAGTTCAACGTAACTTTTTGCATTCTCTCATGTACTCTATGCCTGTATTAAGACGACCTGGGGCACCATGCTTTTAATTGTTCTCTCCATCATCAGATGATGGAGGAGGAGAACACTTCAGACGGAGCTCATCCATTTCCGTTTATCACCCCTCCTTTTCTCCTTCTGTTTTGTGCTTTTTTGTTCCCTCTTCTCTCTTCTTTTTCTTCCCCGGCTTGAATTCAGCACAGACGCAGCATACTGGCCTCCCGGCTCGGCGTGGCAGTCTTTTGGCAATATGTGGCAGTCTCTCAGCCCAGCATGGCTACATTGTGGACCTCGACTCGAGGTAATTCCTTGAAGTGCAGTCCCACCATTGCTAAGTACTTAAAGACTGGAATGTTTTAACTTTCAGGTTTTGCTTTTTTATTTTCTACATAACACTAAGAAGGTGTCACTGTGATAACAAGGTGTAGAGCTGGATGAACACAGCAGGTCAAGCAGCATCATAGGAGCAGGAAGGCTGATGTTTCGGGCCTAGACCGTACTATAATTACTGTGATGTTTAACTTTTAACTTTGTTCTTTCTTTCTGCCTTGTTCTCAAGATTCTGTACCTAGGTGCATGTAGCGACATTATACACTTTTCACTATATTCATGTATTACTTTTACTTGAGTACCCAAGACAATAAAATCAAAATCAAAAAATATCTGTCCTGCCACCTTTGATAACTTGCGTGCATATACATCCAAGTCTCTGCTCCAGCACACCTTTTAGAGCTATACAATTTAGTTCATAACGTATCTCATACGCTTTCTACATAAATGTATCACCTCATACTTCTCTGCAGTGAACTTCAACTGCCACAATCTTCCCATTCCACTATCGTGCCAATATCCTTTTGAAGGTCTACATTGCCTTCCCAAGTTTACAATGGTTCCAAATTAGAGGTCAATACATTGTTAAATCAATGCTATATGTGCACAGAATGTGAAGTGATTTTAATTCTAGTTACCAGTTCCAGTGATCACTGTTCAGAGATAAATGCAAATGGCATAAATTCAAAAATACCTTTATTACCATGCCAATTTGAGCTATTTATCACATGGTCAATTTTTGATGAAAGATGTTTCTGATATCAGTTACATTGTCACATCAAGACATCAAGTGAATTGTCAGTTTCCTGTAGGAAGGGGGAACAGATTACTCAAAATAAAGTCTTCAGATCCAATTTTGTATAGTTCCTAGCATTTACAAATAATATTAGCTAAAACCTGGGAGTAAACTTGCTATCTGTCTGCCTGAAACTTTGAAAGACAGAGGGAACTTTACTTTCATCAAAAGGAAGAATGATTAAAAGAAAATGGTTAGCCAAAGTGAAAATCACTGCAATGAGCAGGCTTTAACATGGTTCTTTTTATGGACAGTTGAATGTAAAACATTGCAACAAGTGCTCTACCTGCATCTTAGAAATTTACCTTATTTTGCTCATATTTGTATTGGATTTTAAGGGTTTCCATGGCTCTGATCATGGATTGCATGGCAGTGAATATATTCTGGTAGACTAACTTCGTATAGCCCCGTTTGTCTTCATCCGAATATCCACTCCCATGTATGATTCGCATCTGTTTGATGAATGTACTCTTGCCACTTTCTCCAGTACCTAGAAAGGAACAATTGCACAAAATCAGCAAAACAGACTGAAAATTTGAGTATATCACTATATCATCTTCACTTCAAAGACAGTGGCCTGCTGATTACATTTATTAAAATCCATTCCATAATGAAGACATCTTCACTAAGACATTTGCATGAAGAAAAAATAAGAAGAAAAATCATTTTAGTTTACCATACAACATTTTTTGAAAATGTTGTATGGTAAACACAATATATTAAAAGCATTTTGAAAACAGCCAAGAACAAATTCACAGCAATCTAAGAAGTTCAAACAGTTAGATGTTATGATTAGTTTTCTTGTAGAGAAATAAACCAGGGTGGTGTACAGTCATAACCTCAGATTCCAGAAGAACACATTCCAGTGTTACCAAGTTATGTACTTCATTTACACTAATCACTTATAACCCTAAGCATTGAAAAAAACACAACTGACTATGCAAACACCACAAATTGTGTTTCCCACCATACCCTGGCATAAGGCAAATATACCAACTTAGTGACAATGTAACATGAAAGCTTACTATAAATATCAAAAGTATTTTTTAAGCACTTACAGACGAAAAAAAGTCAAACTGCTTTGGCCAGATAGCCATTTGTCCTCTGGTAGTTTCGGATTACCACTGTCACAAATTCAACCAAACTGCATTTATACACAATGATACCTTTGAATGGGAATTTGTGTTACTGAAATACTAGCAAAATTCAAAGTGTACATTTTGTCTGCTGGAAAATCTGAGGAGAAATAAAACTGTAATATTCTGGTTTAGCATTACAAAAGGCATTGAAGAGGGGTTGACTAACTGTGGCAGAGTGAATGTGGACAGCGTTAGAGAGATAAAGATTGACAGCATTTGCAATAATTAGGGTCATAGATCAGAAACACAACATAGATTGCAAACAATCTTTATGCTTTATTCTTCTGTATCGGGTGTGGGCATCACTGGCAAGATTAATTGTTATTACCCATCCCATAAGCTGAGTGGCTTGCTGGGGCACTTTAGGAGAACTGTTAACTGTTAAAGACATAACTGTGGATTTGGATTGTGTTACAAGTCCAGCTGATGGCAATACGGATTAAGTCAAAAGTCAGAGTGAAACATGGCTTGATAGATCAAGTTTTATTTTTGCAATTTGGTTGCTGTGGAGATCAGTCACTGACCAATTTCACACAAGTCTGCCAATGTTTTCAAAATAAAACAGCTTCATTAAACAAAACTAAATAAGATCATTTAGAAAGATCTTAAACAGCAAAAAGAAAACGGTAATCCTTTTCCCAGCACTATCCTTCACAGACACCCAATCCCAGTGAAGTATCATTCATCTTCATGCTTTAGTTTATAGAATCAGAATCATACTGCACGGAAAGAGACTCTTCGGCCCAGCTAGTCCATGCTTACTATAATCCCAAACTAATCTATTTCTACCTGCCTATTCCTGACCCATATCCCTCCAAACCTTTCCCAGTCACGTACTCGTTGAAAATGTCTTTTAAATGTCATAATCATACCCACATCCACCACTTCCTCAGGAAGTTCATTCTACACATGCACCACCCTCTGAGTAAAAATATTTTCCCCTTGTCTTTTTTCCAATCTTGCTCCTCTCAACTTAAAAATGTGCCCCTTAGTCTTGACATTCCCCATCCTTGGGAAAAGACACCAACCGTTAACTCTAGCTATAACCCTCATTATTTTATAAAGTTGTCTCTCAGCCTCCTATGCTCTAGTGAGTAAAGTCCCATCCTATCCTGCCTTGCTTTCACCCTCCATGCCCAGTGTTATAAAGTGGAGGTTGACTCCCCACCCCCCCCACTCCAAGAACTAAAATCAAAACATCCAAAGAGGAGTGCCTCATCTTATAACCTGTTAAGGAGTGTGAAAAGTGGTGTAACCTGCCTTACAACAAATTCTAGCTGTTAAATAAATTGGCGCACACTTTTACAATTAACAAGTAACAATTTATTTATCTAACTGACAGTGAGCAAACTCACTAAATTATTAACAAACCAAATAAACCCCCTAACTATTCCCAAATAAAACAAGATACTATTGGTATGCTGTTCCAATAAATAGAAGGCCCACTTATACAAACTAAAATTAAAAAGAGAATTCTGTCTCACGAAATTACCGCCAGGTTACGTGTCTTCCAGAATGTTCTGCACCTTCTCCGTTGAATGTTGTCAGGAACGCCTTCTCCGTCAATTCTTCTGTCAGGATTATTAACTAGTTGTGCCATAGGTACCTTTGATTTAGATGGTGCTTCCTCTAAAACTTTAAGACGACTGTGAGAGCCAGTGATTTTCTCGAGAACTTAACTCTGACAGATGGCAGTTCAGTCTCCTGTCTTTGTTGAACTGCCCGTTTTTTTATACCCTTGACGACATTTAAATTTATTACAATAGGATCGGTCCTATGTTGTCAAAACTGTAAGATTTAAATTTTCTTTTGGTATCTAAGTGCCTGGTTCAAATTAATTGGCTAAATTCAAAACTTGTCGTCTTGATAATGAAACAAAACTGATGCTTGGCCTGCTAACTGTACAGCCTTTTGATACAAAAGTTTCAATTCAGGTGCTCTGTGCTCTTGGCTCTTGCAAATTTTCAAACTGTTCAGACATCTTTTATAAATCTCTAAGCATGGAAAAAGCACATCTTTTAAAGGGACCAAACATTGCTTTCCCTCTTAGCATTTTACAAACACCAAATTGTAATGTGCTGCCTCCCAATCCACAAATACACTCCCCAACTTCACAACACCGGCAACATCTGGTAAATCTCTTCTGAACTCTCTCCAGCTTAATAATATCCTTCCTCTAACTGGGGGACCAGAACTGGACACAGTATTCCAGAAGAGGCCTTACCAATGTCCTGTATAACCTCAACAGGACTTCCCAACTCCTATTTTCAAAAGGACTCAGCAATGAAGGCAGGCATATCAAAACACCTTTTTAACAACCCTGTCTATATGTGATGCAAACCTCAAAGCATTATGTGCCTGCATCCCTAGCTCCCATTGTTCTACAACATTACCAAAGCTCTACTGTTAATTTCTTAGCTAAATGAAAGCTGAAAGCTTTTCTTTCCACAGTCTTTCTATACCATAAGATCGTGAAACATAGGAGCAGAAATAGGCCATTTTTCCCAATCGAGTCTACTCCACTATTCAATTAGATCATGGCTAATCTGGTTCGCCTCAATTTCACCTTCCTGCAACTATCCCCATAAATCTTGATTCCTTTACTGATTAAAAACCCATCTATTTCAGCCTTGAATAGACTGATGATTCAGCCTCAACAGCACTCTGATGAAGACTTCCACAAGTTCACTAGTCTAAGAAATCCTCTCTCATTTCTGTCTTAAATGGGTGACCCTTTACTCTGGAATTAAGATCTCTGGTGCTCTCTACATCTACCTTATCAAGTCTACCGTTCTATCTGGCAAATCTTCACCCAGTCACCTAACCTGTCTGTATTCTGGGTGTGCATCATCCTTGCTCATTGCCTTCCCGCCTTTATGGTATCCACAAACTTGGCTATAATACATTCACTTCCTCATCCAAGTCATTACTATATATTGTATATAATTTGGCTCCAGCGCTGATCCCCATGGCACTCCATTAGTTACAGACTGCCATCTTCAAAATGCACCCTTATCCCAGTGCTTGGTTTTCTATTCATCAGCCAATTCTTTAGCCATGTTAACGCATTCCCTACAGCAATACATTAGCTCTTACCCTATTAAGTAGCCGAACATGCAGTACTTTATCAAATGGTTTCTGAAAATCCAAATATATTATATCCACTGCTTCCCTTTATCCTACCTGTTACTTCCTCGAAGTCATCTAACAAATTTATCAGGCATGTTTTCCTAATCACGATGCTATGATGCTGCTGCTGCTTAGTTATATTATATTTTTCTAAATGCTCTGCTAAATAATTCCCTTTAATTGAGTATCATTTTTGTATTTTGCCTCCCTTCTTTTCTGAGTAAAATTGGCAATTTTCTAATCATCCAGAATCTAAGGAGTTTTGGAAGATTTTTTCCCAGTGCTTCTGTAGCTTCTTCTTTCAAATCCAAGGATGCAACTCTCAGATCTAAGAAACTTAAGACTTTAGCCCAATTTGTTATTGTACTTACTTCCTCTCCCCCTTTTGTCCCTTTATTATCATTATAAAAGTAATGAATAATCGTGTATTCCACTGTGAAAACAGAAGCAAAACACTCACTCAACTCCCCTGCCATTTCCTAGTTCCCCATTGTTTCCTCAGCCTCATTCTCCATGGGGTATGTGTTCACTCTGGCTTTGTCCTGTCATATAATTAAAGCTCCTGACGTCCATTTTGACGTCATTTATAAATTTATCCTTAGACTTTATGCCAGTTTTCCCACGGGTTCTCTCACTATCGTTTCTCCCCGAGATACATAAACACTGGATATTTCACTAATGTTCCTAACTGAACTTTAAGGTTCTGTCTATTTGAATGACAGCATAAAGTTTGAAGACATCTTTCTTGCTATGAAAGCCTAAACTGCCACAAACTAAACTACTTTTCTGTTGGTATAAAACTCTTCTACTTGAAAGAAACCAGATTGTGGCCCCTGGTCTGTTATCCAGTATGTCAGAGACTCTCAACTTTGTAAACCTCATGAATCAACTCCCCAGGTAGTTTATCTAGTCATTGAACTTCACACATGCTTTCTTGAAAATCATCTTTGAACAGTGTTCATAAAGTTATTTTGAACAGTGAGCTCAAAGAAACAGGTCACCTTCACAGAACTTAAAAAAAAATCTATTTACTTTCCCTCTACATGTGAATCCACGTCCCAAATAACAGTATTCTACAAAAACCTGTACCACAAGCGATATGTGGGCTAGACCAGGTGAAGATACCAGATTTCCCTCCCTGAAAAGCATTACTCAATCAGCTGCAATCTTTTTTTCTAAACATCAAAAGTAATGTTGAGGCACCATTGAGACTAGCTTTCCA